CGGGGTGTTGGAGAAGGCGGACCCATACGAGAGAGGGCCGCTAAAGCGCAAGGTCCTATAAGGGGTCAACGGTTGACCCACGTGTTTTGATCGTGCGGGTAGTGGGCGCGGGAGAGCGCACATATAAGGAGACTGTTTGGTGTATCGGAGGTTTTTTTTGGTCTGCTCTACTACTCTTATTCTCGTCTGTTTTCTCGTCTGGCCTAAGTGGCCGCTTGCAGCTTAGTAGCGTGTTGTTAGGGGCCTAAAAAGGGAAACCCCTGTTCTTGAAGCTGGAAGCCTTAGTGGCAAAGAGCAGGATCTATTACTAGGTGGTGGAGAAATCCCCTAGAGATTGGTGCAACTCCCTATGGGGATCTCAAGTGACCCTCTCCGCCCACAGCCGCCTTGTCCGACGTCCACTCAGACATTTCTATCGCTGTCGAACATCGTGATCTTTTTTTTATTGTTGTTATTCGTAAATAAATTGTTCTTTTTTTCGTGCGATTCGTGTGGGTGACTAGACCGTCTAGTGCGGCCATATCTGTTGCGAACCGAGTGTTGGCTTACAATAAGCTGTTCTGTGAATATATCTTGGTTACCCCTCCTCCGGTTACTTCGGAAAATGTACCTATTAATTGCCAGTATGACGCAGCAGGAAAGGTAAGGACTTTCCATACTGACCATATCATTTTGATGAGTGAATCCAGAAAATAATGCCAATTCTATTATAACATGTTTCGGTTCTATATTTCAATTATCTTTCCTTGTATCGTTGCAAAAGCTTTCTTATGTGCCTTTCGGAAAGCAAGTTGTTTCTTTGTCATGTTTGCTTATTCCTCCTGCTCTTTGTTATCTCATGTGGGGCTATACGCAATATGATCCATGTTGTTGTTTGAGTTGGTTTCTGACTCGTTTCAGTTGTTATCCTATTCTCCTTCTACAGGTGAAGTTGGGAGCAATGGTCCGCTGGCACTTTTTGATCATATACAATTCATCTTTCTTGGCATGCCTGCTGCTCTGTGCTGTCAGTACTCCTATCAAATCAGCCTTGTTTTTGACTATGCTCGTACGCAGCAGTCGGTTGCCACGTGGAGGTTTGCAATACCCGGTGTGCCGACGGCTTACACTGTCCACATACTACATCGTAAACTATGGCACCATGGCCAACTGGTGGGGTACTTGCTTGCTGCAAATTTACCAAAGAGGCTTCTACTGCCACAATGCACTGGCATGGTGAATGTAGTTATTCACAATAATTCATCCTGCACTGCGGACGGTTTTTCTCCAACTTAGCCTTTCACCTTCATTCTTAGTTCTCACCATCGTTGTGTTTACTGGTTTTTTTTTTCTGCATGGGACGTTGTGCACTCTTGAGTTCGTATAATATTATAAGCCTAGCGTCGTGTAGTTGTTGTGGCAGTGTTGAACGGAAAAATCAGTAGTGAGTCACAGTAATGATAGCGCAGTGGTTCTTACATATGTTATAGGGGGTGGGATGGGGACACAAGTGGTACGTGATAGGAACTGATAACGACTGATAATAGCTGATAAGAGGGGCTAGAAAGCGAGCATCGCCAATTTCGTTTTGCCGTTCATATTGGTAAAAGAGCGTCTATACTTACAAGTCTTATGTGGGGCGGTCCCGGGACATTGGTGGTACATGATTGGAAGCGATAGCAACTGATAATGGCTGATAAGATGCGCTAGAACGCAAAAGTCGTCGATTCCGTTGCCTGGCTCGCGTTGACACCAGAGCAACCATACTTACAAGTGTTATGTGGGGTGGGACGGGGACATTGTTGGTGGGTGCCAGAAACTGATAACGATTGATAAGGGCTGATAAGGCGCGTCAGAAAGCAAAAGTCGTCAATTCCGTTACGCAGCGTTGACACTAGAGCGTTCCTACTTACAAATTGTAGTAAGTCGTAGTAGTACAAACAAAGGTACGTGCACATTATTTCGATATATATCCAGCTTACTTAATAGAATTCGATTGCATAAATTCAAAAAACAAGTCTTCAGCAAATGATAAGTTTCATTTCTATCAAGAAAGCCCAAACTCATTAAACCGCTAATCCTTTCGGGGTTCTAAATAATGGTGAATGTAAATAAATGATAAGCCTTAGCTCCTCACTTATGTAAATAGGCATATTTCATTTTGATTTTGAGACTGACAGCAATCCTATTCACCGCTAAATTATCTGAATTCAAGAAGAATGCTGGATGTTTACAGAGTGTGATCAATATACCAGTTCAGCTCAGACGTTATCACGCGTATTCTCGATGAGCTTCAGTGAAACTGTGGAGGGTCTAACACAGTCAATAGTGAGATGGTTAATGGAGTATCTCATGCTGATATTCCATGGGTCCTCCAAGTTTCGCTAAAGCCTGCCGTGTGATGCGCGCGATAGCGGGCGAAGCAAAACTGGTAGTATATAATAAATAAACATCATACGTAAATTCATAATGAAGTGAATGAAGAACGTCGAAATGACCTCTATGCTGGGATAACGTAGAAGAGTTTCGAATATATACTTCGCTTTCGCAGTCATGTTGTTTGGATCAAATATGATGAAGCGACCATAACCATACATGTTAAGTGACACGCTTGTAACTGAAGAAGTACCTATTAGTTGACTACAACTGTGAGATTCACTATTGAAAGAAAAAGATGGAGTGGTTGGCGAAGGGGCATGCCTTCCAATGCCTCGCATCTCGTGTACTTGGAGCAAAGATCACTGAACAGCCTTGAAACAAACTCCTTATAACTAGCACACGAATAGTTGGGCTCATTTATTCTACTCTCTCTGGAGAGCATTAAAGGAAGCTGTTGATCGAAAAGCGGCGGCGCTGGTGGAGTTGAGGTAAGTGACCCATTCTTGAATTTTCCACTATTGCTTTCATTAGCCTGGGGGCACTTGGTCAAATTCGGATTCATATGGGTGGATAGGTAATTTTTAACGTTTCGAGACCATCTCAGCCCTTCGAGAACGACGAGTTTGTCGAAAAGTCAGCCTGAATACATATTCTAGCAAAACTTGTTTGGCGCAGAAACAATAAATAATTGTTGGAGATTACATGCCCGGGTTTCATGAAAGCCGAACATGGATAATGTTATCACCAATCATGTAATACTATTTCTCGAATCACGCTCGAATCACACTTTTGGCTTCAGCGGATGAGCACCCTTTAGAATATCAGGTTACAGCTAATGTATCGAGTTGTGAGATCCTTCGTGAAATGCGTCATATGGCGTAGCATAGGTTTTACAGTAATCGTATACTTACGATCAATTCCATCCTACTGTATATAATTCGCTAAGCATGTATGTGAGTGTGTGTAGGTCTGTGTGTTTGTCACGAAATTCATAGCGCGCGTACCAGCAGTCACAGGAGTTGATTTCAGGATATGATATAGGGGGTGGGACGGGAACATATTTGGTGGGGAAGAAAGTGATAACTACTGATAAGGCTGATAAGGGACGTTTCGAATAAACTTGGTGGGGACCAGAAAGTGATAACAGCTGATAGGGCTGATAAGAAGCGTTGGAAGGAAAATGTCACGACATTGACAGCGCAAGGCCCAGCAGCATTGAGGCGTTGTTTTGCAGATATGATATAGGGGGTGGGACGGGAACATATTTGATGGGGACCAGAAAGTGATAACAGCTGATAGGAGCTGATAAGGAGCGTTCGGAAGGCAAATGCCATTGAAGTTCTCATACAGATGTGCGATAAGAAAGCACTTCACGTCCTCTCCAGTGAGCCGCTAATCTGCCCGAGCTCCCAGGGCCAGAATGTATGGAAATACAATAACTGTTGCTACTATTTCTATCTCATCACCGGTATAAGAAGTTATTACGACCGCTAAACTATCCCAGTATCCAAAGCATGGTAGATGTTTACGCTGAGGGCTGATAATAAGCAGCCCAAGTAATTGTATTAGTTATCCAAACGCTCATTCGGCTGCTAGACTTTGTTAGTTCCAGAAAAATGATGGATGTTTATTGGTATTGACGAACTATGAGAAATTACTGCTTTATCATCTGATTTCCTTAATACCATCAGTCAAATCAATTGAGAACGGTGTGTTGCTCAACACAATACCCCAGCTATACTCAGTTTCAGTGAAGCTTTTGTAGAGCGCTAACGGGAGGAGCAAGACTGGTAACTTATAACTCCAAACATATAGCCTTGATGGATATTCACGATTGGTCGAAATTCAGATTATTAAGCCATTAGTAACTTTGTTTCTCTCGATGAAGGAATAGGAATGCAAGGTGCCCGTTTGCTGACCACTTTGCTCAACTGACTAAACAGTCAATTGTCGTTGAGTTATATCAGTGTTCCTACCCATCATTACCACTTCCTTGTCATAATCATCAACATTCTATCACTCTAAAGCGAGCGAGTGGGACACGACGCGTGCGCAGCCTTAAAACGTAGCACCAGTTCAAGCAGAAGCCGTAAGCTCAGAGTAGCAAGGAATGGCATTCTGCAGCGAAACGTCTGCAAGTTGCAGCGTACTGTGGTTTTGAGATTTTTGTGCACTGCGCCTTCGCCTGTGCTACGACTTCGAGTTTGACTTCAATAGAAGCATCATTCATTTCTTATTTCGACAATTTCAATTTATGCGATCGTATCCTTTATCTTCCGTGTAATCAGGGTGGATATCGGTCGAGGAATTCTTCGACGGAGGGTCGTATTTGCCTTTGTGGAAGGGGAGGAGGGTGGGTCGTAATTGTCGGTATCAGTATCGAACGAGGAGTGGAATCCAGGTTTGAGAGAAGTGGAAGGGGGCGTCTTCACCATTTATCTCTCATTGAAATCAAATGCCTAGGGAAACGTAACAGGATTCATTCTTTGCAGGTTTCACATCAAAGGAAACGAAATAAAATGGAAGGAGAGCAACGTTGTGTCCCACAATCAGTGGCATGGACCGCGCAGTCTCGTGGCTATTGGGCTGCGGAAATTCCGTAGAGCCCAGGGCTACAGGACTCTGCTTGATTGATGGTTTTATGTACGGGCCAGTGCGGCGCTTAAGTTTCGCCTGGAGGGCGGCCCTGGAACGAACCGTATCTAGTTGTTTCAGCGACAGCAAAGCGATGCGTACCCAATACATTTTGCGATTTTTCAGGAAATCACTCAGCGAATGATGTGAAAGGAATCCTTTAAGTGAAGGGAAAAATTCCTCGATATTTCCTCGACGCAGATTTCTCTTTAAGTAGGAACTTTTCGAAACAAGTCAGGCAACCATTTGAAAGAGCAATTCTTCTACTTTCTAAAACTGTCCACACTTTTCCGAAGCAATTGAGAATTAAGAAAGTTATCGTCTTGAAAACAGCAAAAATCGCATGAAAATTTGAGTTCCTCGACGTTTCCTCGACGTGGAAAATCTCACTGAATAGGGTATCTTCAGAGCAACTTCAAAGATAGTAAAAACTGCAATCGAAGCTCTTTCGAAGCACACAAACAGTTCTCCAAAAGATCAAGTTTCGAAAAAGTTATTAAGGTTTGAAGCATAAGGGGAGAGGCAAATTTTCGAGATAAATCGCTCCACCGCGTGAGCCGCGCCGCAGCCGCGTGAGGAATCAGCTGCCCCTTTAAATTTGGTGACACTTCTAGGTCCTATTCATCATTTTTCTTCATTCCTGTCGATCATGCTTCGTGTAACAAGGGTACACGTGAACAATTGCCGCTGTCACAATAGGAGAATGTTTTGTTTTTCAGGATTCCTTTGCTAGTAGTAGCTTAACGCCGTAGTCGCCGAGTCCTATCACAGTTGGGTTCTCCTCGACACGATTTTCACCCGGCGTTTGATATGTTATCAGTAGAACACGATGTTTTCGGTTTTTTGGTTATCGATTCAATGCAGACGACCTCTTTCTTGCCTGCTGCTCGTCTGCGGTAGAAAACCGACGCACAATCAAGAAGTTCCATTCTAGTATGCTGACAGATTTCTCTGACTTTTCCGCATCATTCAGTACCTCGACTTTCGCTTTTTCGCTTTAAACCATCTGAGATTCTACCGTAATTGCTGGCTTCAATCATTTGTATGAGCGCAAGATAATCACAATGTCTCATAATGTCACAAGCGCAACAGTGCAATAAAACTTAAAAAGTCCGCATTTACACGCTACCTATATGCCTTACTAATGCACCAGTTCTGCCCCAAATGATCGCCAGAAGCAGTCTTTCTCGCATGAGAAGGAAAATCGCATTAATAAAACTCAAAATGGAAACAGCTCTTCTTCCCCGGCCCTCCGGCTGCCCCTTCAGCAACATTTTCATAGCCGAGAGCGTACTCAAAGTGTTTCCGAACAACCGCCGAGGATTGTTGATTGATTGATTGATTGACACATTCACAAAACATTGATATCGCAAGGCATACAAACTCGCTAGTTTTGATTACGGTTTGTTTATTCCGTCAACCGCTTTAACACTTGACTTTGCGGACAATCCACACACCGGCACACGCATTGCCGAACAGGCACACTATGCTGGAGGTTTCGTAATATGTAGAAGGATTAACAGTCACATGGCCTAACACGGCACCCGTAGATTATATCACTTGGAAAAACCCTCGACTACCCCCCTGAACGACGCAGGAATTCCGACAAGTCTCACCTTCCGACTTTGATCAACATTATCAGCTCTTTCCAGTTGTTACTACTTACCGCACATACCATCGATGTTTCCGTTCCGTCCACTTTGTACCCAATGAGGGTGAGAACCTTGCAGTCAGACCGAACGAAGTTCATTTTTCCGGTCATCCCCAGGCCATAACTGCTTAGAGGACCACATATGGTGGATCCCGGACTCTAATCCCGGATGAAACCTTGCCCGAACACAATTAGGCCTTTCATTGCTCTGGAGTCCACTAAATTTATCGGCTGCTCTCCCATCCATGTTTATGTAGTCTGAGTCGCACTCAATTCAAGAGGCCATCAAGATTCCAAATGTGACTTCAGTAGAATCCGAATGTGGCAATGTTGGGAAGTTCAGAAAGAGATTCGTCAACGAGTGTTTTACCATATCTGCTGGGTAGTGAGTACGCGCCAGTGAGCGCTAATCACTTGTCGATGATAAAATGAAACCTAGCCCGTGAAATGGGCTGCTTGCGTAGAAAATCTACGATTTCATGTCTGCATGAAACCAAAACCCCAAAATGAACCAGATTTCTGGCCACCACGTTTAGAGTTCCATTGTGTATGTGTGAACCAAAGTTACTGTGCCCAATCTGCCAAAAAATAGAGAAGCATTGCTCAAAAAAGCACTAGTCATACCTTTAGTGTTAGCGATAGTCCCTTGATCGATCGATATTATTGTGAAAATTACCAGAATAATAGGAATAGTGACCTAAATAGTGCTCAGAAAAAACGATGGACAGAAATGTCAAAACGACTTCAAGAAAAGCAGTGAATGGAATTTCTTTTACTACTGTTCTGCTGGAAGTCAACCACAATGGCTATGGAATGGAGTCACTAAATGCATCTACTTCCAGTGGGGAAGTGAGGAATGACGTGACATCTTTGAATGGAGCAGCCGCTCTACATGAAGAGTGCTAATTGAGGACTTCCCTCTATCTAGGGTAAAAACTACAAATATCTTACCAGTGAGACGACCATCGTCGACTATTTGACAATTCAAGTGACAAATGCGGTGAAGAAAAAAATCAGCGTTCTCACATTAAACAACAAGTTTAACACCTTCTTTCATAATTTGCATTCTCTACTAATTTGAGCATACTCTTGAATCTCAACTCAAATTCGCTTCAATTCGCGGCCAGGGTCAACCGCCTGTTCGAGCTAGTCACGAGGTAGTCACGTTTTGCTCATGGGTAGTGGAAAGGTGTTCGCAAACCCGGGGCCCGCAGCAGAAATCGTGGCGATGTCGTCACTGGTAGGTGAGTGGGCGAGGAATGCGCTGGGAGAGAACATGAGTTCGTGGAAAGTATCGAATAGAAGAATGAAAGGTTTAAATTGAAATTTGCCTTGTATAACTCTTACAGATCGATGGGATGAATTCCTAGCTCGCCAGTGGCTACAAAGAGAATAAACAGCTTTTAAATTTCATGTGGTCTGAATGAATATAGAAAACATCTGCGGACTAAGGCTTGCATCTCTACACGACGGGGACGAAAATGGCTGGCTTGCACAGGTTATAGAAAGTAGAAACAGGCTATCAAAAGCTTTCGCAACTTTGAACCAGGAAAAGCGTTTTGGCGCTTTCCACGAAAATTCTTGGTGGCAACCGATTTGAATTCATTTCATCATAAGAGGGAATACTGTTCCGGTTAAATTTTAATTCATTTTGATCAAATATATGAAGAAAGTCAAGGAAGTGCGACAATATTAAAAAACTGACTATTCGAGGCTGAAGGAGCAAGACCACCCAAAAAGTGCGTAGGTGTGATTTTTTTCCTTTTCTTTTTTTCTTTTTTTTTCTACGGCTTTCAAGAAAAGATCAGGTATTGTTCAAAGGGAATACCAGAAATTTGCCACAGAATTGAAAAATGAGAAAGCTACGGCCACCGACACCTCAAAAACCCATATTCGCACGGAAAAAGTGAGAATGCGAAAATTTCAAGAAAAAAACCCAATGGTCACAGAATATGCAATACAATCTTAATAGAAAACAATTTGAAGTTTCTGGACTTTTTTAGAGCTATCCGATAAGTTGCATTTGAAAGTTATGACCTTCCCAACGTGGAGGTGCGCCTTGATCACCATAATCTTGATCTCTAAATCCTGACGAGCGGCGCACTCTAGGCTGACTCCGTTGTACACCTTCTCCACACAACCGTAGTTGCTCGAATACCTTTCGATTTGTAATAAGCAAGCAGGGGATCCACTGGGACCCTTAGGATAGAGGGAAATCGGAAAAATCTCGAAAGCGCTAACGCGACAGTTCGACCCAGTTCGCGACGGATTCTAATTCTGTGAGTATGCTTACCGCAGCGAAGCAACAGTGAAAGTTGGGCATCAGATACAGTCTTTTCTTCAGTAATACGTAAAACTGTTGATCAAGTGAGCATATCCCTTAATGACTCCTTTCTTTTTGAGATCAGCGGTAAATTATTGTAGTACGCACCATGTTTGCCCTCAGGTTCTTCTTCAAGTTGTTCGTACTCGTTTTCTTCCTTCAAGTTGAATACCTCAATCCTGAACGAGTATTTGCTTGGTATTCATTCAGACAAAAATGACCGAGAAAGCAAAACAAAACAGAAAAGGAAAACGAAACACGCAGTCAGTCGGAGTCCTGCTGCTCTCGGGCTCCTGGGCGCTGAGCATTGACAGAGCATTCAAATGCCTTCATGTTCTCGACAAAAACGGCAGCGGCCCTGATCTCCTCTCGCCCACGAGATCCATTCCCTTCTTGCACGCATTGAGAATTCCTCAACATCCCCTTCCACAGCTCGTTAGATAATGGTGTTTGCCTGCTCATCCTGCTTGTTCGGCGTTAAGCTCTCTGCGGTGTACGTTTAGAAAACTGAGAATGTAGAATAGTGATAATCGTTGAGGTAGATTTTCTTTTGATTCTTCTTTTAGTCATTTTATCCGCCTATTCTAGCTTGTGTGTGAGCATTTCCCAGATATCATAGTTCTGTTTTCAAGTAGAATGAGCTCGTCTCGTGATCGAATGGCCGAAGAACGAGCGCGACTGCAAAAAGTATTGGAAACGGCATAAAATTATTTGGCACAGAACAGGTAGACTGATCCTTCTGGATAGCACACAAATGCACCACTAACGCGGGGATAAGTTAAAATGCCGAATGTTTACTGGTCGATAAGTAAGCTCCGTTCGTTCGATAAAGAGTGCAATAAAGGAACTGTAGAACATAAAAAACAAACCTGCGATACACATCCATTACTGTGCACAATGTAATGTAATATTCTGAAGATTCCAAGCTTGCTTTTCTTCCTTTCAAGGCCACGCAAAAGTGCAATGTGTCTGAATGTAGCCGTTTCAAGAAGAAAGTTGTGAGAAAATATTTTTGAATCGCTCACTCATCATGGGCGTTGCTATCAAGGCCAAACTGAACTGATTCTGCCGTATGTCTGCCGAAGTTCGGCACTTGGAACAAATTTTTGAACCAGCTGAACTTGAACTCGTAAAGTGAAGAAACTTGATCGCGGAAAGCATCAAAAATATTACCATTTCTATGCGAGATATTGTGCTCTTGCTGTTTGAAGCATCACTGCTAAGTAGAATGTTCAAGACGTAGCTGCAGCCGAATCTAAAGTTAGTGTTACATAGCAGGAAACACTGATACTCATAGGAGAGCTACTCAACAGTAAAGAAAAAGAATTAAAACCAAGAGGCTTTCGCTCTCCCTACCAAAAGCAACAATGTCCAGTCCTTACCCAAAACGGATCATGCTTATTTTACGGTCTATTTCTCTTACCAGCTAGAGGCTATAATGTAAGTATGAAGCGTCAAAGGGGGCAGGGAACCCCACACACGTTTACAGATGTTTACAAAATGTCAAAAAAATTGTAGTAATCTGACTCCTAATATGTATAATCAACAGGGTTTGATGCATCTCAATGAGGCAGGGGTCTAGTAAGGGAAAAGACGAGTTGGTACACATAAAAAAAGATATTATTGTGAGGTGTTACCACTTTAAAAATGCCCTCAGTGTTGAGTGCGGCAGCGTCCAGGGCCCACGGCCGCGCTGATTGAAAGTATGCCCAAACTATTGGGTTGACCCATAATTTCTGGCCGAATTTCAACACTTTGATTTATTCAAGTTTTATCTTTCCAAGAACAATTGATCAAAAACATAACCACCATCATAATCACTGATATGCACCCATTTGCTAGGGAACGAATGGATGCATTCCTCCCAGAACGAGAGAAGCTGTGAGATGAAAAGCTCGGAAGAGGTCGTTTTTGGGGTGGTTGTATTTACTGACTTTTTTCTCTCCTAGCTGCTGCTTCAGGGAGCTGAGGAGGTGATAGTACGATGGAGCAATGTCAGGGCTATACGATAGATGTGGTGTCGTGGTCCAGCCAGTTTCCCTCGAAACGTGGCGAGTTATCTTTGCAATGTGATTTCGGGCGGTCCTCCGGATAAAGGAGATTTTGAGACTTTCCAACCGTCCTCCCGCACTGCTGCGGCCAACTTTGGAAGCTATTCCATGGTTACCTTCGCAATGCTTGTCTGCATAAAGTGAAATGGTTCTCAAAACGGGATACCCAGCGAATCCAACAAAACGGGGGTCACACCCTCTGATGAAACAGCTCGGGTTTTGGTTGATGTGCTGCGTCCAGGCTGCGAGGTAGCCACCGGGCGAGCCGCGTGTTGTTATCGTAGGGGACTCATGACTCATCTGCACTGGTGACCAACCAGGGAATGTCTTGTCTATACGGTCGCAGAATGAAACTTCTGCAGATGGTCAGGCGTGCTTCTCGGTCATGGTCAGTCCATGCATGCTGTTTCCATCGAGGCTTCATTCTGCTACAGTCCATTCCATTCAGGTGTCGACTCATGGAGCGTAGGCTGCGCCCAGATGTTTGCTACAGTTTCCTGCTAATAGCGTCGGATGCACTTCCTATTCGTAGCGCAAGGGTCCTCATAAAGTGACTGGAGGTCCGTGATGAGGTCGAACTTTGCAGCTCCTATCGCCTTTGCCGATGCTATTGAGCCAATAGCTCAGTGCCCGATCAGTAGCAAAGACTGGGGCAAACGTAGCGCTGATCTTGCCTACCGCGCTCCTTGCAAGGTTCTTCTTAAAATTGTCGCAAGGCATAATCGTTGGGTTTGGTTGTTGATCTATTTTGATTCCTACTTAATTATCCCTTTGCGCATTTGAGCTTCTGAACATCCTGGCTGAAGGTCCTGATGTGTTCTTCAACATATTAACTTATTTCATATGAAGCTAATTTGACATGAAGAAAATTGAATTTGAACCAAAATCGGCCACAAATTATGGGTCAACCCAATACATTGCAATTATATGTACGAGCGCCCCTCGGGTGGATCTTCTTGATTGCATCTAACCACTTTGGTTTCACACAGCGTCACATGCATTCAACAAAAGGCTCCAACAGGACCACTTATTGTGACCACGTTACCTAGGAGCATGTCTTCTTTTCCTTTGGGTGTCCTCCCTTCTACATAAATGCTGAAGCTAATATGAAAGAAATAATTTGTTTGCCAAGTTGTTTCAGGCCTTGTATCCAACACTATAGTGACCTAAATAGTCCTACTTAGTGCTAGCTGCTAATTAATGGTGTGAAAGGTAAGGCTGAGCCTGCATGACCTTATCAATAATCGTTGAATCGGAAAAGGTTGATTTCACGATGAAATCGTTTTTATCAAATTGATTCGATCTGAAGATCAATTTTCGGCTCGAAGTCGGAGCCTGTAACTTGTTGGGGCCAAATTTTTCACGGGATCCTTCACTGAAATGTGATTTGCACAACGAACCAGCTCTTCTGTCGTGCACAACTTTATAATAGTCAGGAACCTGGCCTGATCGTTCGACAGCTGTAATTTTGTATGTGTCTGGAAAGGCACCAGTGTGACGGAAGGATCATTGTCGTGATAGAAAAACTATAATTTGGCGTGTTTTGATGTGCGAATGGAAACATTGTATTCTACGGGATATTCTTGTTCTCTCCGAATCCACGTTTGGCTGGGTACTAAGAGTCAGGGAATCAATGAATGGGTCCGGCACCTCCTCACCAGTGATACTGATTACACTCCTTCTGATTGTCGTGATCAGGTTACTATTAGGTTGGTCTTGCAATAAATTACGTATAATGTTAGAGAATTTTGTGAGAACTTTCAAAGTTTCAAAACATGTACGTTGACGTAACATCCACCTCTACGATTTCGTGCAAGCGACCAGCTCGCTGTTTCGTTACTTGTTATGCATATTACACTGATTTCGAGGAAAGCTTTTCTATTTCCATTGATTTTACGCACCGCCTGGAACCTTCCGCAAGTCCTGCTACAACAAGGACAGGAGATGGGCGAGGGCACGCTCTCCTAATTTACGATGCACCTGCGCTTCACTCTGCATAGCGTTGATGATGATCTCCAACACCTCCTGACTTAAGTCATGATGCTCTATCTGACGCTTCTGAAAAGGGAATCTGGATAGACTATCGATCATTTTCTAGAGCGATTCCGATGCGACAAGGAGACAGCACTGTGGCTCCAAAGACTTGTGAAGATCCGAAAATATAGAGTTTGGTCCCCACATGCCTTGAGCCCGATTCAGCTCCAAACACGATCTGACATCGTTCATGTTCAAGTCGACTTACTAGGGATTCTTCGACTGACCATCCATCCCAATTGCCAAAGAAATCCAAGAAAATTTAGGGACTCTCGGACGGAGAATTCTTCCGTGTCCACCTTATAGCCCTGTTGTGCTAAAGTGCTGGAGCCTACCTGCTTCCCTCTCCAGACCACCTCCTAGAGAAGAAATCTCATCCTAACCATCATGATGTCAAAATCGACATCTGATCTTTCTTCGATCAGAATTCAGTGGAGTTCTACAAGAGAGGCATCGAACAGCTTCTAGTGCGTTGGCAATAGGTTGTAGATATTGATGGAGGGTAGCATGCCGGATGAATGGAACAAAAAGATAATAAAAATATTAAATTCAAAATTCAGCCAGTTTGTTGCAAGACTTATGAACCAACCTAATAATATGAGGATTTCATTCCCAGAATATTCCCCAAAAGTTGACGCCATTATTTTTAAAAAGGTACAACTAGACTCGTCGCTAAAAGGAACTTTTTACAGCCGCTTTTGGTTTAACTGGTCTCGGAACCAGTCGGGTCTTCCTGCTCTTCAAGCTTGAGTTCGACTTCTTGTAAGAGCGTGTTCCACAATGATTCGCAAGATTCTTGACGTTATTGCGCAGCACTTTGACTTTCATGTAACTGGAAGGAAAATTCAAAATGTGAGCCGTTTTTGCGAACTAGACGATCTTAATTTTCTCGCCTCTGACAATATTTCTGAATGTCTCGGGTGTAGGAAACAAGTAGGAAGTAAGTGAACCACTGAAAATGAACTATTCTCCTGTGGAGATAGTAATGTTTTTTCGTATTTAACATTGCCATTTATTTCCCGTTAATGATCTTAAGCAGAGGAGCGGACCCTGATCTGGAACCGTTCAGAAGTTACCTGCCGCGTTCTTGCAGT